AGTATTTCTTATAATTAATATTCTGTTTCAGATAACATATTTTAATAGTTACTGCTATTATTATCATTTCATATAACATTCATGGCAGTTGGTCATTTTGTTATTACTCCTTACTATTCTGCTTCACTTTTCGTTCTACTATTTTAGTGCTGGGTAAACTTCCTTTTTTTTTTATAAACGTTCCAGAAGAAAAAAAAAAACTTCTGAAAGTTCAATCAATAATTTCATTTCTTTTAGCTTATCACTAATTTCTCTCACCTATGTGTGTCAAGCACTCTTCAACCTACCATCATTAGCATATATTGTTATTGGTATTGGATTTTTTTTTATCGGCGCAAATTGCACCACTATAGTGATTTTCTTAGAGAATCAATTGTTAAAGGTTACCCAGTTTTTTTCAAATCTGGGAAATCTCAGATTCTTTCAATTATTTTTTGTTTAAATCTCAAAAAGATTTTTAATAGAACTTTGGAAGTATTGAAAAATAATATTCATTCTGTATTGATGGAAGGAATTCGAAATGATTTAACATTTTTAGGATGAAGCGCTAATAATGGCTTATAAAATTTGTAGTGTATTGTTTATAGCATTTCCCCATTACAACCTTGGAATGGCTGCTTATCGCCTGAGTTTTGTTGGTGTATTACGAATGCAAAGTGAACTATATCTTAGTATGTTTCAGTATTATTTCTGTGCAATGGTACCATTCGAGTGTTTTTATCAGTTTCTTAAAAATTGATATTATTAAAGGTGACTAAATAATGTCAAATGCATCCGCTGATCTTATCACTTTTCCATCTTCATTATTTGCTAATGAACTTTTGAATTTCAGAGGATATAAATCGAAAAGATCAAATTAACTATCTACCGTTACCCAATCCGCTTGAGTGGCATTTAATGGGAAAGCATTTAATAGCACTTATCATAGAATTTTGTTTCTGTTCACTGATCTTACTCTTAATTGAATATCGTCATCGTCTGAGCTCATGGATAAAGTAGGTAATTTGCATGTTAACAAAGGATGGACAGTACTTTAATTAGTCTTTGGTAAAATTTTTTTAAATTATCATCCGACGAAGTTCTATAACTGTTAATTCATTTAAGATTAAAGGAAATCGCTACTGTTAGCAAATTTGTTGAATTTTTCAAAGTTTTAAAGAAAAAAGGAGCATAATTCGGGAAATAAGATTTTGCAGCAAAACATCTGACAAGTAACTCACAGATGAAGGTGATATCAGCAGCCTATGATAATGATGAGGAACATAAGTAAGGTCAAAAGTCATCGGTTGATCTGTTGAAATTTTTGGAATCTAGTACAAATGCATTGATAAATTTAGTTGGTGATGCTGAAATATCTGCAGATATCGCGAATCTGTGCAGACAATGCAACTGATTGCTAACACAGAAGAGTCTGAATTGGATGAAGACGTTAAGATGGAACAAGTACGAGCAGATGGATTAAGTTTGGAACCAAACGATGACCATAGACTGATTGTTAACGGTGTATCAAAGGTATAGAACAAGTTGTGGTCATTTTTTACAGTTGAAAACTTGCTACCATTTTAATATTTTCACTTTAATCAGCTATGGTCACTTCTTTTAGTTGAGAATTTGTTAACAATGCATGAATGACCCTGATGATGACATTTTGTTTTTAGTCCTATGATGGACAAACATTAGCAGTGCGTAATGTTTCATTCGCGGTCAAAAATGGTGAATGTTTCGGACTATTAGGTGTAAATGGAGCCGGTAAAACGTCAATGTTTCGTATGTTGACCGGACAAGTACCGATTGGTGCTGGAGATATACTTATTAACAGCAAAAGGTTTCTATTCCGGAAGATTTTTCATAATTTTTACTGATTAAAAGGTAAAACGATGAAAGTTTATTCATTTCCTTTGCTAACTTATTATTTTTTGTAAATTTTTCAGGAAAAAATATTCTCTTCCATGACAATATAAACACTACCATCACTTATTAATTGTTATTATATATTTCTTAGAAGAAGCTAATATCGGATGAAGATTTGCTGAGTAGAAAAAAGCACAAGAAAACGACAATAATTTTTTAGTATTCAATGTATGAGTTCAAGTAGTTTGACCAGTTTTGGCTACTGTCCACAGTTTGATGCATTAAATCCAAAATTAACAGCAAGGGAACATCTTCGTCATTATTCGCTTCTTCGTGGTATCAAGAAAGACGATGTTGATATGGTAAGCTATCCTGTCATATTTATTGACAATGATGACATGAATGTCATTCATGGCGATTTCTCCGTTGGCTTATTTAACGCTCAGCAGATATTATATGTTTGACTACTCTTAACATTCCATAGTTATTATTGCTTACGTAACATGAAATGATGATTGATTCAACGGAAAACACATCAAACTGAATTAGTTTTTTCTTTCGTAATTTCAAAAACTTATCATTTGCTACCAATTTTAGGTGATAAATTGGGCACTGAATGAGCTACAATTGAATTCTTATGCGGATGAGATTGTTTCAAATTATTCCGGTGGTAATAAGCGCAAATTATCAGTTGCGATTGCTCTTGTGGCCGATCCGCCATTATTACTGCTTGTAATCTAATTTTTAAGTGGAAAGAAAATGAAATAAATTTGACTTAACCAATTAAAACATCGAATGACATTTCGTTCGTTCCGATAATTCTCAAATCTATTCATCCATCCTTCAAATCTTTAGTATATCTCAACGATACTGAAATATGACTGAACAAATATGATAAAAATTACTTATTTAATCAATCATGCATTTACCGCCTTATTAAGATTATTTCACAATCATTTCTTCTTCATTATACTTCTAATTTCAATTTTCGCTTTCAAATTTTTGAAGGACGAACCGAGCGCTGGAATGGATCCATTAGCTCAACGTTTCATGTGGAATGTCTTGCTAGCACTACGAAAGAATAAACGTGCAATGGTGATAACATCACATAGCATGGAGGAATGTGAAATACTTTGCAATCGAGTAGCAATAATGAATCATGGACAGCTTCGATGTGTCGGATCAATTCAACATCTGAAACATAGGTCTTCATCTTTTTGTCAATCAATATTGATATGGAATAGATTTAACTGATTTAAGTATCTAATTTTATCTTTCATGCTCCATTAATCCTGAACTGTTTGAGAAATGTATCGAACATTGAAAGTATTTCTTTTCTCGCCCCTTTAACCTGCTATTTTTTAGTTTATTATCTTATTATCATAAGAGATTCCAGTCGTTGAAGTAGCACTGACAACCAACTCCTATCACTCCTGTTCATTTTATTATTAGGAATATTAGAAGTTTGAATGATAATATTACTCGATATTACTACAAAGTAATTGGTGTAATTCATCACATTTGATATTTTTGCTATCAGATCATTGATTTTAAGAAAGATGTTTTTTAGATTTGGTGAAGGATATACACTAACAATCAGATTACCAACGAATGAAAGTATCAGTAAAGTTCAAAATTCCATGAAAATTCTTCTGCCTGCTGCACGAGTAAGTTTTCAAAACTGCAATGTATTAAAGTCTCAACAAATTTTCAGGTGTTAAAATTGTAGATTTTGGTGGATTATTATTTCGCTTTCTGCTTCAAGTTGCCAACTGCACTTCTTTCAATCTCACCTTACTAATGTCTAGTTTTTTTCAGTTGGAAGCTGTACATTTTTTAACTATGTTTTATCAAATCCCGAATGTATCTTGTACCATTGCAAACGTATACGATGTGATATGCAAAGTTAGTTATTGATTGGGAAAATTATGAATAAGAGACTGGACCAAAGTCATTAGTTCTATAATAGAAATAGAATGAGAGACTGAAGAACTCCGTTAAAACAGTTTTCAAGTTTTGACCTCGTTTTGGTATCGTTGAAAAACCAAACTTTAATTTAAATTTATTGAATTTATTACAGATATACTCAAATTATATTTCAATTAAAGCATAATGTCTCATTTCAAGCTGGATTTAAATTATAATCCTGGATTTCAAATTCATCGAAGATTTAGCAGTTTAAATTAATGGCATGACATTACGGAGTAATTAGCAGTTCATTATAATTAAATACGAGTCGTTATAGATGCAAGGAACTATACAAATTGATGATTATTCATTATCGCAAACAACATTGGATGATATGTTTGTTTCATTTGTCAGCACCTCGTCCAATAAAAATGATGGTTGAACAATACCATCAAATGTCAGTTGAATTCAGTGGAAGTCAGCAGTGTTCTCGCTACTTTGTTGAAGCATTTTTTTGTCTTTTCGAAATCCTCCCAGTAATTATTTATTTAAATTGTAAAGAAAATGTTTAAACCAAGAGTTAGAAAAATAATTGGAAATCGTTTAAAATCAAGTAGTAATTACAAACTAAAAATATTCAAGAAGAAAACCAATCTCCACGTTACTTCTAACACAAGCGTTCATTTTCATTTCTCTTTGATCTATGATGAATCCACACTGTAACTTTGCAGCTTTATTCTTATAACGTACATTGTTGGCAGAGTATTCCTTTCACTTTTCTCTTCTATTACATAGAATTTGAAAATCGTGACTTCAGACACTCTCCTTTTGCTTCCACAATCTCACATAAGATTTCTCTAAAGAGACCTACTTTTCGCACTGATTGGTAAATGATCTCATAGAAATTACCAATGGTCCATTATCGTAATTTACGTTGTTTCTGTTATTACCTTCATTTTTCCATTAAATTTATTTCATAAAGGTAAAATTTTAATACTTTGCAAATATTATCTTATAAAAGAAATACCATACCAAACCATATGCCAATAAAGCGCTTTCAAAATGGAGAACGATTACATGTTGCAACTTACTATACCACACTTGAAAGAACAATTTTCTTTCATTTCTTTGCCCTAACTTGTCCTACATTAAGTTATATGTCAATTTCTCAAAAATCCTTAAGTTTGCTTGTACATGATAAATCAATTGTTACAATAAAGACAAATAGTTCAGGCTGCTAATGCTATAACTTCATGATCTTTAGCTCTGCTTTGTTCACATCTTTTTACATGTTACTAATCTATCTTCTAAAACAGTTCGTGGATCACTACTTAATCTTGAGGAAAAAAAAAACAAGTTATAGTAGCTAGTAGATACGCATCACTACGCATTTTTTCGCACAACTGGACCAAAAGCATTAATGCCTCCAAGCCGTGAGTTTGGAGACGAAGGCGCATCGCCAATAAAGTTCTATAAATAGTATGAATATTACTGAGATCTTGCAACGAACATTTAATTCATTCTTTATTTTGCAAAAGTGCAAGGAACGGATGTTCATGAAGAAAATGTACCTATCATTATTAGATTAAGTTTGGTCTATCTCGACTTATATTCTTCACTTCTTATCTACTACTATGGTAAGTTAATCAGTTGAAAATTTGAAAAATTGATTTTTTCTTCAAAACGGCAACACTTACTTGATCATCATATGTTTCCGCTCGAACGTAGTGATCCCTAGAAAATGTTGCTACGACATACATTGAATTTTAAGTTAGTCTGCGAAATAAAGATTTTGCTATTATGTTATCCTTCGAGAAATTCTCATTACTTTAAATGCACATTAAAATTAGAAATATCATCGTGGTAGCTAATACTAACAGGAAAATTTTGAAATTTAAGGGATATACATATTATCAAATGATGTTCTTATATCCTAAGTTTATCTCCAACTGTCATAAGTGTATTCATATAGTTCCAATGTTCAAAAGCTTTGATTAAATATGAATCAATGAATACCTAATGGCTTTGCTCAGAGCACTGAAATACGCTTCGAGTTCGCTAAAACTTTCTGGCTCAAAGTCAATAAAAACAGTTAATGTACCAACCTTTTACATCTGTTCATAATAAACCAAATTTCACGCGTGAGATCACTTGCAATTAATCCATTAACGCGGTCCTTTATAAACGACAGCAACAATATTCCATCAGGGCGGAGTACGTTTTCAGTAAAATTCAATAAAGAGCGTTTATCATTCGCATCAATGTAGGTATCACTAGCCTGAATGTCGCAAGAAGAATTACAACAAAGCTCCAAAATATTCCATATTTTAATTTAAATTGTAACCATAAATTACGATATTTCAAAAAATTTGAGAAGGTGGAAATACCTGTAACAAAGATAATACACGCGTGTAATGTAGATATGGGCAAAGCAGAAGTAACGTAGAATTTATTGCACTCACTGCGTCAATCAGCACCAGTGATAAAAGCCAGAACCAGAGTACCAAGTATAATTTTTCATTTAGCGCATTAATCATCAAAAAACACTGCATCGTGTGAGTATTTAGCTGGCCGATTTGCTGAAATCGTTAGTATTTTTACAGTAGTAAAATTCAAATAAATTCATATAATTATTCAGGTACATAACTCATTTATTCGCTAACATTATTAATTAAATCTATTCAAGTTAATTTCTGTAATTTGAAATAGTTAGGAATTTTATTTTTAGTTAAACGAATAGCCCACTAATCACGGGATAAGATTAGTTGATATGTTTTGACAGTTAACATTGCAAATAAGCCTCTTTTGAGTTCATGCTTAAAAGTGTCCAACCTAATCATATCGTTTATGCCAGCAAGTAAGCCTAGTTCTCCGCATTACAAAGTCCTCATTTTTATTCATAGCACGACTCAACTAGAAGTATTATAAAAAGGACATGTAAGCGTACAGCAATTTTGACATCGCAGAATGTTACCCGTGGAAATATACCCGATGTCTTCCAGTCGTTACCTTTAAGCATTTCCTCCATAAACTGGAATATGTCATAAATGGACATCCTTAAAGAAATGATTATTCTCCATATCCTTGAAAATTTTTCAAATTTTAATGAATTTGTAGCAAACTGGAACTTACACGGTAGCCCCAAAGCAAACAACCATCACCAACGAAATTATTTATGAGTAAAACTTGACATAAGCAACTGGTAAAATAGAACCATTTTACGACCGCATAAAAGTGATATGTCGAACAACACTCAGCAGTCTGTCTTCAAAAAAAGCAAAGGAAAAAAATCAGATAGAAATTACAAGTTCAAAAGACATTAAAAGTAGCCATCAACAATGTCGCTTCACAGTGAGTGCTTTGCCATACCACTTTTATATTTCATAGTTTAATATCGCAAGCTGCATATTTCTATTAGAAGTTTCCTTTTGCCATAAGGTAACTGTTATACCGCTAGCAGGAAGAGTCGTATTGAAACAGCAAGTCAAGGTGGTAAGTGAAATTGAAACTATAACCTTAAAATCAACCATTCAGGCTCACCTCATTTGCTTGTACTTGATATATCCAACTGCAAGGTTAGCGACTCTTCTGAGATGCTTCCGACGAACTGACAATGTCGTAATAGACGGTAATTCCATTGCTTCTTCCAGAACACAACGCATATCCAAATCTACATCGTAATTTTAAATTAATTTGAATTAAAAAAATTAATTGGTTATCGTATTCAGTGAAGCGAACTCATGTAAAACAATAATTCTGTCGTTCCTGACTATATCTTGAATTAAGTACAAGAAATTAGGAAAGTATGAGTGAAGAAGGTAGGCCAAGCTTTTCTGAATCACGGTTATTTTATTAAACTTGGAAAGTGACAAAAGAAAAATCAGTATTACTTACCACGTGTTGCTATAATAATGTTCCACAAAAATTTTGGCAAATAGCAAAGCAAAGCCTGCAGTAATAATACATAAGGCACCCACTGAAATAGAATTTCTTATAGGGTTAACTTTAGCGTGTGCAATTTGATCATATAAATTTGTCAATTTTATCATATTAAATAGGTGTCTTTTATCCCAAATATGATTAAATTTCATGTAGCATGCTATTAATACCTCTACTTAGCTTATTTCCTTGTTTAAAACAAAAACATAATTGGAATTCCAGAATGGAATATGTCCAAAACAGGAGAACTTATCTGATAATAGACAATTTCCTCTTTAAGAACATTCATTGCTTCACCTTTTACAATAATTCTACTTGTATTTACCATATATGTATTGCTTACGAAACAGTAATCCTGTACATATTCAACCCATGTACCTACAATCATTTCAGGTAAAAATTTCTTCAAAATCAACTATTTGAAAGATTAAGACAATCCAGGAACTTTTAAAACACAATACGATATATTTAGCCATGTTCCAAAACGTGAAAACATGCAAACAACAACGTTACTATCAATATGCATAACTCATTCTAATCAGTAATACTGATATAGTTATCACAAGTGTCAACACTATTCAGCGCACCTATCCAAATAACCCGGTCTTTTTCTAATGAATATATTCTCTATTCTTATTTCACTTTAACTTCATTTGGAATTCTCATTTTATTTTCGCTGTTTTGATTTGAAAATTGCAAAGTCTTTATGTAATTCTTTAGGTCTAAATTTTTATTTAAAAATGACAAAACTATTTCAATCATTTCTTAAAATCTTAGAAAATACAAATCAAGATATTGTTCGGTTCGCAACAATTTATATCTGGAGGAATTTTAAATTTATGTCAACAAAGCGAATGGCGAACCTGGGAAGTGTGTAGGTGCCATACACTGAATTGCAGTACCGAAATGTTGTTTTGCTCCTGTAAGTGTTGCCAGAAACATGAATAGACCCACTGTATACACATAATTCAGGCGATCCACGAAATCGTCTGTAGGATCCGAATGTGCTGACACAAATTTGCTTGTTATTTCTTCAGGCCATACAAACATCTCCAATATTTTCCTCTTTGAAATTCAATTCTAAAATAAGCTTAAGCCTAGATCTGCTCTTATAGAATACAAAAATCCAATAAATCCTTAGAGTGAAAATTATTGATTTTTAGCAAATTTACATAAAACTAAAACATGACGTGTGCATGTCAAACGATGTTATACCTTATATGACAAAGACATGTTTTCCCAATCTCCATTAACAACAAACACAAAATTACACGTCAAGTCTATCCTCATTCTATTCAGCGCAATCTGAATGAATAAATATGACGTAAGTTTACATGTTCAGAACGCTAAATAAACCACTGTTCGTTAACGAAATGATGCCTTTTACATATTATAGTAGTAGTGCCAAAGGATTTTGAAATATCTAATCGAATAGTTCCTTTCATACGCTCTTTTCTAAATGATAACATTTCTAGCTTACTGAAAACATAATGATTCACGTAACCCACGTCATATATACAGATGTACGTCAAAAATAATGGGAAAGAAATGAAAACGGAACAAATACAAAAGAGAACTGACAAGCGCAACAGCCGCCTTTTAACCGTTTGCATATCGCACTGTTGAGAGTGAACGTAAAGGAAATACGCAGAAAAAAAAGCGAACGTACACAATACGGACGTACGTGGATATTCATTCAAACGTACGCAAATCTTCATTAAACGTACGCAGATAATCATCCAAACGTAAGAATAGTATCACCATTGTCAGCAAGGATGACAATAGATTACAAAACACTGACTGGTTAAGTAACAATATGTTTGTTTAGTCAATCTCTTAGCTTTTTTGGACACTGGCTGACATACAACGCTACCTCCTTAACTTGGCCATACCTTCTTTTCCATGACCTTAGCCATATCTTCACTTCTTTTCAGCCATGATATGCAAGATGTATTCAGTTTCGTTAGCGATATATCTGACCAACTTTTATTGAAAAATTTATTCCAAAGGATATACCAATGAACTTTTGAGAACTTCATTACATTTAATGAATGAATTTAGTAGCATCAATAAAGTTCAAATAATCTTCCGTGACCTTTTCATCCGATTTAACACAATGCACCTGAACAATATTCTTTAAAGTAAGAGTCCAGAAATAAGACTACCATTTCTCATTGCTTCATTCATAGCTACCGTAATCTGACTATTAAGTTCTCAAAAATTATCACCGATCCTTTATAGGGGAATAAATGAATTTAAAAAATAATACTAACTTACTAAACAGTCTAATTTGACTTTTTTTTTAAAAATATCTTGACATTAGTGTTTAGATAGTTTGACCTATAACTGAACTGACTTTGCTTGCTTTATTCAAGAATTCGCGTTCTTTCAGTGTCAAATCCAAACCTCTTGGCGTATATTCCGGCAACACGAATACTTTCTGAAGCTCAACCTGAGTCAGAAATCTGCTCATTAACCGCGGTCTACCATCGTTGCATGAATCCTCAATCAATAAGTTGGTGGAAATTTTAAAATCCACTCTTTTAAAAAATCACAAAGGTTCGTTTCCAAGAATCTAGTTTTTTTTTCAGTTTTTGACATTTTGAAAATCCAGAAATACTAAAATTTGTTTTTCCATCGAAATGGAAATTTTGAAATGTATTGTTTAAATATCCAAAAGCATATTGAAATAACTTCCCTCACCAACAAATCTCGATCTTCCAGAGCATCACTGGATGACTTACGGTAAAAGTCAACCAGAGTGCAGGATGTGAAGAAGTATATATAGGCGGTGACAGAAACCGCCATGAGTAAAATTGAGATAGGCATGAAAACCAGTACTGCATACCAGGTCTAAAATTTCATACCTTCCACATTCTGTTTTATTCTAAAAAATTAAGCTATCAGATTTATTGCTATCTTTTCAAATATTCTAGCACAGTGTATAAGTTGTCTGGTCTGTATGTTGATAAAATCTGATCTGTAATAAGCCAATATAGGATATTAGTCTAGATGAGGATGAAGCTTCATGAATAAGACTCCACATTTTCTTAACATTTTTCGACTAGCTTGACTACTGTTCACAATAAGATGTTTAGGTTGGAACTTCATGATGCTATGAAAAGGGATGTAAACTGACCCAATAATCAGGTAACAGAGGAGCCATATATTCGTGACCGCTCTTCACCTCAGTTCAACATCGAATGAGAAAATGATTTATAATTCTTATTTCGTTCTACCGGTAATTTTGTGACAATCAGCAATAACTACAGACATAAATTAACCTTTGAATCGTCATCAACTGTTTCCTATAACGTTCCATGTCCTTTATCATTATGCTGGTTTTCAGGTCAAAACCTTTTTACCAACCTTCTGCTTTTCTCTCATTTTACTTCAATCCTCTTTTAAAATGAAGATCTCTTCATGATTAGAAGAGGGAAGATAAAAAAAGGCGAAGGTTTCAGGAAAAAGCGAGGATTATATTTCTGACAAGAGAGACCACACAATAAATGAAATATTTATTTTTCCTGGAAATGTTATTCAAAACTGAATTATTCTGTTTCAGGAGTTGAGAAACAAATTATACAAATCCGGCCAGAGCCTGTAAACAGAAGTTACACAGCTGGATAAAAAAAAGTAGCAAAATATAAATCATGATACAATATTTAGGAAATGTATCCCAATACTCGAATGTATAAATAAATATTCGTAGTAAACAACAAAAAACAAGTTCTTTAATTACATACTGATTGGCTATCAATGAAGCTGGCTTGTGATATCTTTAAAACAATCATGAAGCTATGGAAAAAAAAAGAGAAAAACTGATCGCGATAAAATCGAAATCATCGCTACGCTTCCATAATTAAAGATCTTGATAACTTATTTATAATGCAGAAGATATGATCGAATTTTTTCATTTTTCTCTTCAAAGCACGCTCTTAATCTTCCTTTAACTTTTATTCAAATACCATACGTTTCTCATGTTAAGAATATCACCACAAATTTGACAAACTCTAACCGGTTTCTCAATACCGTATTTAAATATGGGCACTTCTTGTTCCGAACAACTTGCGCACACCAATCGTCCACAATGCCTAGAGTGTTTCATATTGTGGAGGTTTAAAAAATTACTCACCTCAGATATATTGCTTGAAGTTTGTAAAAACCATGTAATTTTAGGAGTCATCGCTTTACAATATTTCAGTAAAATGTATTTAATTTTCATATATGAAATTTTTGTTTTATGCGCAAGATCTAGAGATTAATAAGGGACTTGTACTAAAACACTTTTTCAAAAAGACAAGTAATTAGGATGAGGAAGAGTACATAAGTCGTATACAAATTAGTAATATAGTAAACGGACGAGAAAAGTAAAGGTTGTGAATGAAAAGAATGAAATTAAACAAACAAAGCATTGCAAAAGGACACTAGTTACCTCTAATCAGATGACTTGTTCAGTCACTTGAAAACCACTCATATGAAAAAAAAAAATAAAAGTACCTGCAATGATGTTTTCGCACTGTCAGAGAAAATTTCACTTCACACTCCGAACATGAATGGCCGTCAGCCCAACACGGTTCACGCTCCAGTTTATCTGAAGTATTATTTTTAAAAACTTTTTCCACGTTCTGTCCCATGAAATATACTAAGAAGATTGGAACCTTTTTTCTTAATCATTTCTTAGGAGCTCTTAAAAATATCTTTAAAGAATCAAAATTTCTGATAAATCCCTTTTACATGAATAAGTACTTCAGTTCAACTTTATAAGTAACAGCAAATTTCGAGATCAATAAGTGCAAACTACCCAATAATGAAAAAAGAAGCTGTTTTGTTGGCGTCACATGTTTGAAAACTGAGATACCAGCCTGAGTGACAATGCCCAAACAAACACCTTGACGTAGCAGTGCATGGCACATATTTTCATTTCCTTTCAAATATGACAACAAAAACACTGCAAGCAATAAATGCGCAAGTAAGCCTTATATTTGATGTGAACAATTGCATTCTAATTGTAAATAAAATAATACTGTGAGAACTAAGCTGTCTACAAAATTTGAATTGATATTTGAAGTATTCAACAAGTCTTCATAAATTAAATAGATCAAGATACATTCTGAATTCCAAATACTTTATCGATTTTTTAAGGTAATGCACTTTTAGTAACAGTAGTACAACACCAGCCACCGGAAGGAAAAAAGTACGGTAGCAGCCATTAGAAGGAAAGAAACTTAGTGGTGTCTTGGGACGTATACAAATGCGCATTACAAAGGGTTTTGTAGTTTAAACTATATTCAAATTTGCTGAAACTTAAATTCAATAAAGTAAAAGGAAACCTGTAAATCCATCCACATCTTTTGCATCCAAAGGAAACTGCGGATCAGCGTTCAAAAACATCTGTAGTATATCCAAAGAATTTGTTCTTGACAAATCTCCAGTAGTAAGGAACAAAGCATTTTGTTGCCTTGAAAAATACTCAATTTCTATACATTTAAATTATTTACAACAATAAAGATAAACAAATATTTAATCTCTGGTATGTTAATTGACGGCAAAACTGAAGACCAGTAAGCAATCAATCATAAGTTGTGTGGTCCTGAGGTAGGTAGCCTAAATCACTAGTTTTTCTGAACTAATAAATTAAAATGGATGGCCATCATCATGAGTAAAAGACAATACACAGTCATATGCAGTGTGTAATCGTATTATCACGTATACACTAATCATCTTGATGATATTTTCTACGGAAAAGAACTTTCTATAAATTACTACACACAAGCGAACATCAAAACTTACTTTTTATTCACAGCACGCAAATTTATCCGCGAGTCGCTAATTAGAACATTAACACAGGCTACACTTCCTTCTGATACCGCTCTATGCAACGCTAAAATCTTCAACAAATATTCGAAACGAGAAAACAATCACTATCGAAATTAGCGCTTTGTTTATAGTACATGAATAATTCCAGGAAATGTTATTATTTCGCAAAATTTATATGAAACTGAACTCAAATTTGATTTAAATTACCAGCTAAATTAGCTAAAATGACTGCGTTAAAATTGACTTACGAGTGTTGCCAAATACGTCTGGAATGTTAGGGTCGGCACCATTTTCCAGTAAAATCATACATAACGCTTCGCGATTATTATATGCAGCAACATGTAGAGGCGTAAAGCCATCAGCACTGGCTGCGTTGACATTAGCTCCAGCTAAAATCTGCAACACATCTCGCTGATTTATCCTACAATCAATCACTGACAACTCAATAGGAAGAATAAAGAGGAAAAAGCAGAAGATTTGGCTATTTATATATAAGCATATATATATATATATATATATATATATATATATATATATATATATATATATATATATATATATATATATATATATATA